ATATATATATATATACTATCCCCCTCTAGTTTGTGGGAGAGTTTTTCTTATGTGAACCACTTCCTGTGGTTATTTGCCTTCACTCCACGTTCTTCTGATGAATTCGGAACTGTGTGCCGGGATTGTCAGTAGTTGGAACTTAGGCGTTGACAGTCTTTTGGTTGTTGTCCCGCTATGCTAAAACGCGTATTCTTGGTCCTTTGTGAAGGATGAACGGTTCCATAGGGAGGCCAGTGGTAAAATATCCCGCCCTCATTTTCACTGACTGAAAAGATGATGAGGGACGTTGAACCATGAACTCACTTGTCGTGTTTTGACTAATTTCAGCTGACTTGAACTCAGTCCTTTCCCGTTACTCAGTAAGTTAAAAAATGTCTGCCAAACAGGTAAATCCGTCAACTACTTGTATCATGGGCATTCTATCCAGAGCTGTGTTATGCCTGACATGAACGATCCCAGCACATTGTTGGATAATTTGTCTAGCAATAAAAGACCAAACCCCGAAAGCCAATATGTTTACAATGTTTGTTTGGAACGAGGAGAACTATTTTCTGAGTGCTAAAAATTAGGTGTAAAAACCGCTGGTTTCTTCCAGATAGCGCCAAGGTGTATTTTTCGTATAGCGAATACTGTTATGCTCAAGAAGAGACCACCAGGGTATGGAACTCCGTGGTGCCTAGTAAACCAACCCTACTTTCCTCACCAAAACGTTGTTAATTAATCAATGCAACTTATAGTCGTTTAGTATAGCCAAAACCGGATTAATTACGGCGAAATGCAAGTGGATAACAAACCCGGAGAAAGCTGTTTTTTGCGGTCCGACACCAGTGCGAAAAAGTGCAGCTGTTGGACAAAGAATATGCAAGATATACATAACAAATATTGTAGTCTAACGCGTTTTTCGGCAACTTCGACGACGAAATAAATCTTGCTGTCACTTAAACACCAACTAGAAATTGGTCTCAAGTGAACATCACATGTAGACTCAGTGGACATTTTAGAAGACAACTCTACAGTGGCTGGAGTCCAAAGCTCTCGTCTTCCGAAACTGCCGTGCAGCTCTTCAAAGATTGCTTTTCCAAGCTGTTCAGCTTCCTGCAATCCACAGCTTCTATACCCCTAGTTCTGTTTGCATCAGGTAAGTAACAAAATCAGGACGTCTATGTGCTGTGGTGATGAAGTGGTATATTTAAGAAAGGACCCTTTCAAAATGAGACCACTCCTACAGACCGTTTACAGCAGCTTCCT